GGGGGGGGGGGGACTGTAAACCAAATCAAGTCAGGGAAAGCATAGCTTCTAGAATTCCTTCCAGCCTCTTCACCAACACTGGCCATAGGAGGCATATGCATTTTCTTCTGTGTAACAAAGTGTGTGTATGCGTGTGAGGTACTGCTTTCCCCTCATGTTGATCTGTGTGTGTTTGTGTATAGGGGTGCGCTGGAAAGCACAAGGCAGGCTGCATACACTCCACTCCGTGTCATAGAGAGAGAAGGGAGAGGGCTTAGAATGGAGCAGCTGGCAACGTTTGGAGCAGCTGCCCAAATTCCTTTTTCTGAAATATTTTTCTTCACAGGCCCGGACCAATTTCAGATGTGCTGTTTCGTTTGCTAATTCATCCCACCATAACAAATTTGGCTCAAAACCTTTTAGGTTTTAAAGACAGACAAAATTAATGGACAGAGTCCTAAGTCCCTTTACATATTTTTTTCCCTAACATTTCATTGGGTTGGAAAGAATAAAAAGGGGGAGAGCATTGAAAGTGCCAATAGGAAATATTTTATTCTACAGAAACCCAACAGAGTTTGGGAAATTTCTTTATTGGGAGACTACAAAATAAAACTGAATAATTTCATTCATGTAAAAACCTCAATGAGCTTAGGTAAGACCAAAATTCAACACAATACTTTGTTTGAGTCTACAGCAAAAGAAATGTATTTCATAATGAATATTTTATTATCCTTAATTTATCACTAAAATATTAAAAGAAATATGTCAGATAAGTTGGAGCTACAGAAAGGACAATCATTTGAAAAACCACCAAAATATGTCCAGTTTTAGGAAGGAGAAACCTGAACTCATTAAATCCATGTTAAAAAAAACCCCTTGTTTTCTTTTTCAATTATCATATTTCCTTTTTATTTTTTTAAGTCCTATATAAAACAAAATGAATTCACATCATACAGATGGTCTTCGCTTTAATGACCATTTGTTCAACAACCATTCGAACTTACGACGGTGCTGAATGAATGGTACTTACAACTGGCTGTTGCAATGTCCCCATGGTCACATGATCACCATTTGCAACCTTCTTTGCTGGCTTCTTACAAGCAAAGTCAATGGGGAACCAGCAGGAGGTCACCAATGGTGCCTATGTGATGTCCTGCTTAATGACAGGGCACAATTCACTTATCACTGACACCACCTTAGCTCTCTTATTTGTTAGATTTATATCCCA